AAAAAAAAAAAAAAAAAAAAAAAAGAGAGATAAAATGTCTGGCAGATGAAACTAAAAAAGAGTAGCCAGGCAGGTAGGAAGACATCAGAGGGTGTGATATTACAAACACAAGAGAGTCTGTCATGGGAGGCTGAGATAGGAAGATCACTTAAGCGTGGGAGGCTACAGTAAGCTATGATCGTGTCATTGCTCTCCAGCCTCTCCAGCCTGCTCTCTCTAAAAAGAGAGAAAGAGAAATGTGGTAACTTTAAAAACTTAGCGAGGTAATACTGAACTTGGACTCCCATCTATGTACCGTATAGAGCAGTGAGAGAGCTGGCCAGTATCATAGAGAATATTTCATTTAACAGGGTGGCAACTTCCAGAGATCTGCTAGGAAAGGCTTTCATAAATCCTTTTATATCTTCCTTCCCTCCCCAGAACAAAATCCAAGGTATCGTCTTTGATTTCGTCACTCAACAAGCCTTTGACATTGTTATCATGATGCTCATCTGCCTTAACATGGTGACAATGATGGTGGAGACTGATACTCAGAGCAAGCAGATGGAGAACATCTTAAACTGGATTAACCTGGTCTTTGTTATCTTCTTCACTTGTGAGTGTGTGCTCAAAATGTTTGCCTTGAGGCACTACTACTTTACCATTGGCTGGAACATCTTCGACTTCGTGGTAGTCATCCTCTCCATTGTGGGTGAGTGGGGTGGGGACTGTAGGGGAGGGAAAAGGACATGACTGGCCTTGAGGATGAGACTTCCTGGGAGAGCAGAGAGGCACATAGGTCTGAAGTACAACTGGTCACCTCATAGCTTAGGCCCTGTGTGCCCCTAAGTTGTCTTGTGGGTCTGCCTAGCAGGTTACAGAAGCAATGAGTTTCTTCGAGTGTTCGTAGCAGTAGTCTTGGACTATAAATTCTGTGGCTCAGGAAAAGAAAAAGATATGATTTAGTCCTTGCTTTCAAAGAGTTCAAAGTCAAACAAAGAATATAAAAGAGAATTGTCATTAAAAATATATAGCTACAAGTTGGACACAGTGGCTCCTGCCTCTAAACCAGCACTTTGACAGGCTGAGGCAGGAAGATCACTTGAGTCCAAGAGTTCAAGACCAACCTGGGGAACATATTGAGAACCCTGTCTGTATAAAAATTTAAAAATGAGCTGGGCACGGTGGCATGCATCTGTAGTCCCAGCTACTTTGGAGGCTGATGGAAGGATCCCAAAAGTTCAAGGGTATGGTGAACAGTGATTGAGCCATTGCACTACAGCCTAGGTGATAGAGTGACTCCTTGTCTCTTAAAAAAAATTGTGTGTGTATAGATATAATATAAATATAAAATGGAAAAAAGAATGATTGTCAGATTAGATATTAATGAAATAATTTAGGAAAATCTAGAGGCAGGGGTTGTGGTAGGGCTGCTGCTGAGGGCAATGATTATTTACTGGGATTTTACCATGGGCCAGTTACAGTTTGATAGTTTCTTCACCTGTGTTACCGCCTTATGACACCTTCACTGTATAGATGTCCCAGGTCAGTCAACAGAACTCAAGTTGATCTGAAAGTCCATATCTTTCACAGTAACTGTGTGCATTTTGCTCCATCTTAAAAACATGGTAAGGGTGATGTCCTGGCAGCAAACAGAGGGAAGTGCCAGCCTACTGATTGCCCTCCCAAAACTTTCATTGCCTACCTGAAAGGCATCTCAAACGGTCAGACTCTGTCTTGGTTCCAGGCAGGTTTGATTCATTTATGCTAGCAAAAAGAGTGTGCTCAAGAACCATGGGGGCCAGCTCCTGAGCTCCACAGGCCAGACCAGAATGGTGAGGTAGCTATTGACACCAGAGGCAAGTTGGCCTCCCTGGCCCAGTGCCACCCTCTATCTAGTTCTGTCCTCCAGAACAGCATGTCCAAAAATGTATTGATAAATGGAACACTAGGGCGGCGTCTGTGGCTCAGTGGGTAGGGCACCGGCCTCATATACCAAGGGTGGTGGGTTCAAACCCAGCCCCAGCCGAACTGCAACAACAGCAAAAAAAAAAAAAAATAGCTGGGCATTGTGGTGGGCACCTGTAGTCCCAGCTACTCAGGAGGCTGAGGCAAAAGAATTGCCTAAGCCCAGGAATTGGAGGTTGCTGCGAGCTGTGTGACTCCATGGCACTCTACTGAGGGCGATAAAGTGAGACTCTGTCTCTACAAAAAAAAAAGAGATAAGTGGAACACTAATGCCATATATTTCTCCCTAAGATAAGAATCCCGTCGCAAGGATGACATGCAAATTTGTGAAGCATTCATATTAAAAAAAAAAAAAAAAAAAAAAGACTGGGCGCCTGTGGCTCAATTGCTAAGGTGCCACCCACATACACCTAAGGTGGCGGGTTCGAATCCAGCCCGGGCCTGCCAAAACAACAATGACAGCTGCAACCAAAAAATAGCCCGGCATTGTAGCGGGTGCCTGTGGTCCCAGCTACTTGGGAGGCTGAGGCAGGAGACTTGCTTGAGCCCAGGAGTTGGAGGTTGCTGTGAGCTGTGATGCCACAGCACTCTACCCAGGGAGATAGCTTGAGGCTCTGTCTAAAAAAAAAGAATCCCATGATGAAATTACTTCAGGTAACTGTGCATTAGATTTCTCTTTGGAGCATCCTAAAGTCTACTGGAAGTCCTACAGTAAAGAATTCTATTTAACCTGCCATCCCACTGTTATTCTTTGAATATACTTTATTCTGTATATTACTTGAATATACTTCATTCAAGTAATAAGAATGATATCTCACATTTTAACAGAATATACTATGTGTCAGTCACCGTTCTAAGTGCTTCACACATGTCAATTCACATAATCCTCACAGCAACCCTCTAAGAATCATGAGAAACTGAGGTACAGAGAGATTACTGAGATACATGGCTGGTAAGTGAGTGAGTGAGGTTCGAGCCCAGCCCTTGCCTCAGGTCCATGCTCCTAACTCTGGACAAAACACACTTGAGACGATGCTGCTCTTGTGCACTGTTCGTAAACTTTTTCTGTTCACTCATTATTGAGTGTGATAAAAAATCCACAGACCAAGTCATGTCTCATATTCTCCAGGGGTATAGAGAGAGAGAGAGAGGAAATTTGATAAAATCCTAGCTTCTATTAAATCTGTGTGTTAGTCAGGTACTATGGTTCATTCCTGTAATTGTAGCTACTCAGGAGATCTGAGGCAGGTGGATAGCTTGAGCCCAGTAGTTCAAGATCAGCCTGGGCAACATAGTGATACCCCATCTCAAAATACAAACAAATAAAAAACGGTAAGAGTCTGCATGTTAGGCACACAGGCATCTATTCTGTTTATTTTTCTCTCTGTTTGAAACACATAATTTCTTTCATTATAAGCATTCAGACTGGACAGAAGGCACTCAGTCTGCAAAGTCCTTTGAACTTAAAGGTTCCACACGTAAAAAAAGTAGAGAAAGGTATCTCCAATCTCAGTAACATAACTTCTTCTATTCCCCTTCTTAGGAATGTTCCTGGCTGATATAATAGAGAAATACTTTGTATCCCCAACCCTATTCCGAGTCATCCGATTGGCCCGAATTGGGCGCATCTTGCGTCTAATCAAAGGTGCCAAAGGGATTCGCACCCTGCTCTTTGCCTTAATGATGTCCTTGCCTGCTCTGTTCAACATTGGCCTTCTGCTCTTCCTGGTCATGTTCATCTTCTCCATCTTTGGGATGTCCAATTTTGCATATGTGAAGCACGAGGCTGGCATCGATGACATGTTCAACTTTGAGACATTTGGCAACAGCATGATCTGCCTATTTCAGATCACAACCTCAGCTGGTTGGGATGGTCTGCTGCTGCCTATCCTAAACCGGCCCCCTGACTGCAGTTTAGATAAGGAACACCCAGGGAGTGGCTTCAAGGGAGACTGCGGGAACCCCTCCGTGGGCATCTTCTTCTTTGTAAGCTACATCATTATCTCCTTCCTAATTGTTGTGAACATGTACATTGCCATCATCTTGGAGAACTTCAGTGTAGCCACAGAGGAAAGTGCAGACCCTCTGAGTGAGGATGACTTTGAGACCTTCTATGAGATCTGGGAGAAGTTTGATCCCGATGCCACCCAATTCATTGAGTACTGTAAGCTGGCAGACTTTGCAGATGCCTTGGAGCATCCACTCCGAGTGCCCAAGCCCAACACCATTGAGCTCATCGCCATGGATCTGCCAATGGTGAGCGGGGATCGCATCCACTGCTTGGACATCCTTTTTGCCTTCACCAAGCGAGTTCTAGGAGACAGTGGGGAACTGGACATTCTGCGGCAGCAGATGGAAGAGCGGTTCGTGGCATCTAATCCTTCCAAAGTGTCTTACGAGCCAATCACGACCACACTGCGGCGTAAGCAGGAGGAAGTATCTGCAGTGGTCCTGCAGCGCGCCTACCGGGGACATTTGGCAAGGCGGGGCTTCATCTACAAAAAGACAACTTCCAATAAGCTGGAGAATGGAGGTGCCCACCGGGAGAAAAAAGAAAGCACCCCGTCCACAGCCTCCCTCCCATCTTATGACAGTGTGACTAAACCTGAAAAGGAGAAGCAGCAGCGGGCAGAGGAAGGAAGAAGGGAAAGAGCCAAAAGACAAAAAGAGGTCAGAGAATCCAAGTGTTAGAGGAGAACAAAAATTAAATATTATACAGATTTAAAACTTGCAAGTGAAAGATTGTTTACAAACTTCCTGAATATTATCAATGCAGAACAGCTGTGGAGACACTTTAACCTGAAGATCTATACCAAATGTAGTCTGCTTATCATGTAACATACACGGTTGCATCTTGAGCAGTGACCTGCCAAGGGCAAAGGACCCTGCTCCCCAGACTCACAGATTTTCTAATGCTTGGGCAGGTGGTTACTGCATGTTCCACATCAGTCAATGCAACTTAGGACAAAACTAAAAAACCGGATACAAAAACAGAGGAGAGGCTGCCGGGACCAGCATATTTCCGTTGCAGCCAAATGGATTTTATTTTTTCATTTGTTGATTCTCAGAAGCAGAAAGCATCACTTTAAAAGTTTGTTTGTTCATGCAAACTATATTTGCATTCTTACATTAGTTAAGCTAAGCAGCAAAAAGAAAAACACACACACACACATTTAGCCCATGTCATTTAATTGTCAGTTTCTTTGACATAAACAGCATCTTCTCCACATGGGCTTCACATGGTTTGGAGATGGGTGGGGGAAAACAATCAGGTTTCTTCAGGCTGAGGAGGACTTGCTCAGGCCGATTCCAAACATTGTGCTCGTTCAATGCGTAGAAATGATTTGCATGATGGCATGCCGTGATCAGAAGTCATGCATGAGATCCATACACCACAGGACACTACTAATCCTGTCCCCTGCATTGGCTCAGACTTTGGACAGGACCCAGCCCTGCACCGCTCACTGTATTTGGAGAAAATGGTAAGAGTTCCATACCGGCTACAATTTTATGAGTTCTTTAAAGTCTTTCATATACCTTCTGGGTAGAAAAGCAAAAACCTGCTTCCCTACCCAGAGCACTACCATCACCAACAAGAAAAAACAAACCCCATCCAACAAGCAGATGGATCCGTTGCGTGTATCTGTTTAACAGACATCTCTAACACACAGCCATTGTTGCACACTTTGCAAGGTGAACTGTTTAATGCTGCTCTGTGTCCAGTACATGGGGGAGACTTTGATCCCGAATGGCTTGTACTATTAATGTCACTATAAAACCAAATCCTAGGGCTAAAAAAAAGTTCATTTGTATCTTGCAATATTTTTGATGATTGTTTAGCCTTCATACTGGAGAACTGACACTTATTTGGGGTAGAGATAAAAGTGCTATTCAAAGTAGCATGTTATCTCTAGGGGGCAATTTAGGGAACTTAAAATGACCTTTCATTTGGAGTTATGGGGTGCCCACTTCATTTAGTATCATGTCCTGTGCATTGTGGCTTTCTCCACACTTGGGTCAATATGGAGAGGGGTTCAGATATTCTGAACTGACCTTTCTTTTCTGTGGAGGGGTTGTCGCAAGCTTATACACTGCATGACTCCTCCTGCCTCCATCACATTTGTTCACCAAGCGGAGCTTCCCTTACTCACAGAGGTGGGTGAGGGCAGCAACATTGGGGTTATGGCCATGATTTCTTTCATTTATTATTAGAATAATAGTCACTGGTGAGAACTGAGGTAGAGATGAAGCCGCCTCTGAACTAAGCCCACCTGGTTTCTTTACTGCACTGAGAAAGCAATTGAATATTCTTTATGATGTTCCTGCTTCCCCCAGCGCATTCCTTTGCAGCTGGTTTTGCTGTCTGCTTAGTGACCTACCCATGGTCATTGGAGGGTGGCTTCTAGGGGAGTGTCATATCTTCCATTCCATCCCCTGCTTTAGGGAAGACAGTTTTTAGTTCAGGGGGTTCTCATCTGATGATTAGATTTCAAAGCCAAGATACTGCAGGTGAATGTGTCAGGAAGTCTGTATGAAGAATGAGGAGAGACTTTAACATGGGAACCAAATCAAACTAAATTCTTCCTGAACCATGGGCGGGGGGGAGGGGGGTAACCCATAATCAAACACACCGATCTGCCTTGCAGTAGATTCACTTTGGAGGTGTTTTCACGGTCCACTTGACTAGTTTTGCATAGAACAAACCACAGCAAGTCAGTAAGTAGAGCTTTCTAGCTTGTTGGACCATTAGAAACTGTCCAGCTCTCTTAAGCCTGCTTCTGCAGCATCCTCTGTAGAATTTTGTACTACACCTGATGCCAGATTGGGAAGGCATTTCTTTCGGTGACCCTGCTAACTGCTAGGATGAATGTATAGTAACATGTACAGGCTACATTGTAAACAGCACAAAACAGAAGCTGACATGTGTGGTTATTCTTTTTAAGAAAATTATAAATACTGTAATATATAATTTTATTTTATTGGCATGCCTTTTTGTAAATACAAATTATTAACTTATTAAATAGGAAATGGCTTCTGGCTTATGCCATTGTCATGTTTATTTTTATTTTTTATACTTTTCTTTCTTCTTAGAACTTAGATGCTGTCAGCCACTGTACATCCCCAAACCAGACAGACAGACAAAAAATTTTTTATTGCTAATGGTCTTTTCCAAAACAAAAAAATATATATTTTTGTTCCAATGTGCAATAAATTCTAACCACTTCTATGCAAGATTTGGCTAAACTTAATCATTGTTCTTAGGCCTTGAGATGGGCAGCAGAGCCGTAAGATCCCATGGGTACACCCACTGCTCACGCTAGCAATGTCATTAAGCTGCTAGAGCGTACTGACGAGACTTTTCTTGAGACCTGACTTGTTCCCTTCCCCAGCTCCTGATCCCAGCCCAGCAAGCTGTCTCTTCAGTAACACATGGGCCTTGGTATCTGGCATCCATCAGCCAGCCTCATAGGAAAGAAGCCACCTCCGCTCTGTTTAAAGTTTCATTTTTAAGGGGGGGGAACACTTTTCCCACTTTTATCCCACACACCCTTGTCTCTCCATCCACCTGCTCGTTCATTCAGTCTCTCACTGACCCATCCTGCTCCACACCTCTTGGGTAGTAAGTGACACCATCACCAGCAGTTTACACCCGCAGTTAACAGGTATTGAATTGAAAGAGTCAGTGATGACATTTCTGCATGTCTTCACTGAGTAAGCGGCAACGCTTTGCCAAATATTAACGAAGCCAATCAAAAAGCTGCAGCAGCCACAGTATCACTGCACATATATATATATAGATATATAAATATAATATAAATATTTATTTTTTTGTAGCCAGGTCCTTGGTGCAGTATTTATACTCCTCAATCCACCTTAAAAATAAAAAAGGACAATAAGTAAAAAGATGTGTGATGCTGTTAATTTAAAATGCAGAGCCAAAGCCACGAGCAGCAGCCAATACGGTTGCTGGTTTGTGTGTGCAAAACACTTTTCCCCCTTTTTCCCTTAACCTCCTTCTTGCTTAGGATGAGGAGACTCTGTAATTTAAAGCAGAGGGTGAGAGCAGGAAAAACTTGCCAAGTCAACGTGACCTACTCTCACTTCTTCCTAAATGAGCCACTTTTGGCCTCAGAAGTTGACTGGGAAGAGATAACAGAAACTACCAGTCAAAGTTCCTGGAGCGACAGTGCCCAGAGTTCTTTTATTTTTTGCCACAACCAATGTAAACCTATAAAAGACCAATAGTGAAGATTAGTGTATTACGAATGCATGGAGGCTAACGCTGCCCTACATGAGACATGATGAAAAGTACATCACTACTCTAAACCAAAAGGAAACAAAATAAAAATGACCCTTTTTACTGTACAAGGGAAGCCTGTCTTGGTGTGTGTTTGTTGCTTGACAATCCCAATTCTTGAGTCCTAGGAGGGGTCTGGGAATTGGGACCTTAGCACATTTGGGGAAAACGGGTGTAGACGAGAGAGAAATCAGAGGGTCTCTCACAAAGTTCTGGCTGAGAAGGACAGACCGGAGAGAAAAGCAAGGTCCTGACCCTCCCAGGTCCCCACTCCTCACCCATTGCACGTGGCATCCTCCTCCCTCAACCACCAGCTGGTGCTTAAAGGCCCTTAAAGCCCTTCCTCACATAATCCACCTGGCAGAGCCCTCAGAGATAATGTCAGCCAACCCAGCTGGACTGGCCTTACTGCTGCCTTTTTCACCAGTATGTTTAAAAAACAACCCTCATGCCCCAAAGCTAGGGCAAGCACGATGCCCAACAACCTCCACTCTGCTAGCTAGCGCTGGGCCCTCCCTCCATTGCCCCACTGACCAGTAGACCAGGGCTGGTCTCCCTCACATTTGCGCAGGGGAAGGGCCCCCTCCCTGTCCTTCTCTCCCTTCCCCCCTTTGGGGACATCCCTCTCTAGGCCTAGGCCATGTCTCCTGGTTCAGGAACACTCTCTCAGGAGGATCTTGAAGTGCCCACTCTTGTCCGCTCCAGTAGCTCCACTCTGGAGAGAGATGGCTGGTAGGTCAGTCCCCATCCCCCTTGGGCCCCCGGCCTCTAGGCCTGCTGTGGAGGTGAAATTGCCATGGGTTGTGACTTTGTGACTTGAGTCCTGGGCATCTTTAATGATGCCTCTTTTTCCCAGATGTTGCCCAAAGTTTTGCAAAAAGCTTCGTTCATTTTCAGGTACCCCTGCCCCCTAAAGAGTCGGCTACAACTAGCCAGCCAGGGGGACATCAGGAGAGAAGAGAAAGTCTGGGTTGGGAGGGGGCCAAGGTTTGCAACAGAGTTCATGTTGCTCAGCTCTGTGCTTCTTGGACTCTCTTCCCAAGATTACCAAGACTCTTCTCCATTAAACTGCTCCTGAGGCATCCCCTCCCGCTGCCCCCCACTGCTGTTTGCTGTACATAGAGGCTAAGTGGGGAGGGGTGGGCGGGCGTGCATATGTGTGTGTGTGTGTGTGTGAAGAATGTATATAGGTAAAGGGGAGTGTGGTCCAGTGGTTCCAGAAAAGGGATGGGACTCCTGTGTTCTATCCCTAGGTTGATCACTGGCTCGCTGTGTGGCCTTGGGCAAGTCACTTAGCCTCTCTGTGCCTCAGTTTCCCCATCTGTAAAATGGGGATAATAATACTGACCTACCTCACAGGGGTGTTGTGAGGCTTTAACTAAATGTTTTGTAAAGTGTTTTGAGATACAGAGGCAAAGGCACTAGGGAAGGGCAAAGTATTATTTGGACTTAAGGAAGCTGAAATGGTACCATAAATGCTGCTATTCTGAGAGCCATTTTAAACTGCACTGCTCCAACCACCCCCGCTTCTCATCACCAGGACAGCAGGTCGAGAATATGTCTTTCCTTTCACTTGCTTCTGGGGTTTGTGATTATTCTAGACAATTTCTTTCCCTTGCTGTATCTCCTTCCCTCACCCCCTCGACTTGTTTCTTGTTCTGTTTATGCGGAAATGGCAGAAATGCTTGAGAAATGAGAATGTATAAGTGGATTGGAAGTTTATAGTATGAAATTTCAATTTTACTTTGTACTGTACATCTTTTTACTTTAGAATTTGCAATAAAGGGTTACGTCAATCTTGTTTTCAACTCTCCTCTTGGATTGGCCTGTCATTTTGTCACTGCTCTCACCCTGAAGCCCCTTGTACAGGGGGAACCAGTGTCAAAAGCACTCCCACCTCCCAGGACCCCACACCTCTCATCTAAGGTCCCCTGTGGCAGACACAGTCTCTGTGAGGGCTCACCCGGCTCAGCCAGGCAATGCCCCAACCACTGGGAGGTAGGTGGGAAAGGTTTTAGGGCTTCACCTGAGTGGGGTGGGCACACTGGAGCCAACGCCCTGCCTAAGGGCACACTCCAGCAGGGCCCCAGGGTAAACCCGAGGGGGAGCTGCACATCTTGTTCTGGTCCCCATCTCGTTTCTCCCAGTCTCCGCTTCCTTTAATGGCTCTGCACTCAAAAACCTGACTATGTGGTGACTAGATTCCCTATGTGTGAGGGAAATTCCTTTCTATTGGGTTTAGAAGAGGCTATCAAATAACGTATGGAGGGTAACAGCTTAGCACAGGGCCTGGCACTCAGTGAATGCCCAATAAATGGTAGTTCTTAGTGGCGGAATACTTGCAAAGTAAAAGGAACTTTGCCAACGAAAACTGGAAGGTCTGCCTCCCTGCATCAGCCCCTCCTCCACAGGCATCCTCACTGGCTACGCCACTCATCTCCAACAAACTAACAAACCGACTGCTCCCTTTTGGCATTTAACTTTTATAATCCGTCCAAACCCTCACTCCACCGAGATTGTGCTCCCATTTTACGGCAGAGCGCACCGAGGCAAGGGAGAATCTGGCGCACCTACAGCCCAGGCCGGGGATGCAAGCTGCTCTTTACTCAAAAGCGACTTTGTTTCCCACCAGCCCTGGGCCCCGGAGGGCCCGAACCGGGGAGTGGCGAGCGAGTCGCCGTCGCCGCCAGTGATCCACAGCGTGAGCACGATGAGCAGCGCCCCGGTGCCCAGCGCCCCCACGAAGCCGGTGAGGAGGCCGAGCGCCAGCGGTCCAGCCCAGCCAGTGGGGCTCCGCTCATACGGGGGCTGAGGCAGGCGTTCCACGATCAGCTCCAGCTCGTCCCAGTTCAGCGCGGGGGCTGAGGCACGCCGGGGGCGCGGGACCGGGGCGGGGGGCACCGCGGGCGCGGCGCCGGGCGGCTGCAAGTAGCGCTGCCCTGACTTGCGCAGCTGCAGCGTCGCCTGCTGGTGAAGGTTCTTGCCCAGCTCCCTGGCCACGTCCGGGCGGCCGCTGCGCCGCAGGGCCCGGGCCACGCGGTCCCAAGACAGAGACGAGGCCCGGGCAGCCAGCCAGGCCGCCAGCGCCTCCCGGCAGCCATCGGAGACATCTGCTGGCTCGGACGACCCACCCCTCGTGTCCTCTGTCGGGCCCTCGGCCGCTTCCCGCCGCCGCCGCCGGCCTGGCGACGCCGACGTGGTCCGCAGTGGCTTGGGCTGCGCCAGCCGGTCCTCGGAAAGCCGGGCGAGCTCGGCCTCGACGTCGGGCGCCCGGGCCTCCAGGAGTGACCGGAAGTGGTCGCACTCCTCCGGGGTCAGTAGCTCCGCCAGACGGACGGCCGCGTGCGGGCCCATGGCGTCCTCGGCCCCCGCCGGCCCCGGCGTCCAGCCCCACAGCGCCAGGACCAAGGCACCCGCCAGAGCCCGCGCCGCCATCGCGGGGCGGGAGCGCAGAGCAAGGGCTGTGGGGGAGGAGGGACAGTGAGGGAGGAGCTGTGCCGGACTGCTCCGAACGCCCGCGGCAATTGTGGGCGGGGCGTCGTCGAACGTTCTGGGACTGGGATTGAGTGCCAAGACGGCGCTCCCAGCATACGGGAGCGGGAATCAGATTTTGGAATCTGATTTGTTTTAAAAAACATTCTTTTTATTCTCTCTCTCTCTTTTTTTTTTTTTTAGTTTTTGGCTGGGGCTGGGTTTGAACCCGCCACCTCCAGTAGATGGGGCCAGCGCCCTACTCTTTTGAGCTACAGGCACCGCCTCTTGGAATCAGATTTTAACACTTGGGGGGCTGGGGCAAGGGTCTCAATTAAACTCAGGAACTGGAGCAAGAGGGCTTGCTACATCCAGAGGTGGGTCACCCCCTTCGCCCCCAGGAGGCTAGGATTCTCATATTGATGCACCTGCCCTAAGCCTCCTGGTTGCCCCACTAATACCTTAAACTTGGCAAGTCTCCACATCTCTTCTAATTTACCGCCTGACCCCACACTCTCCTCCAGAAGTCCTAGACCCCTTGCTTTTCATTATCTCCAATATACATTTACTAAATTCTCGTTACCTACCAAACACTACATATTTAGTATTTAGTAAATGACTTCATCCAACTTCCTGTTCTCCCACCCCTGCACTAGGCCAAGCCTCTCAGGTCTGGATAAGCTTAGCGCCTCCTCTGGTCCCCACCCCACCCACACACACCAGGGCCCTGCTTAACCTAAACCTGTTTCGTTTCCCCCGCAGGCCTGCACTGGCTGCGTGGACCACCACGCCTCCCAAGTGCCTCTGCGAAGCCCTGCCAACTCACAGGAAACTACTTAGCCACAGCTCCATTAGGGAGGGACCCTCCTGTCTGCCCCCACAGCACCCTGCAGCTCTATCATATTACTGTCTCTCCCATTAGACTGTAAGGTTCATTTCTCTCCTCATGGCAACTAGTGCATAGTTAAGTGTTCAGTAAAGATTTGTTTAAGACAGGGTCTCACTATGTGGCCCTCAACAGAGTGCTCTGGCGTCATAGCTTACAACCTCAAACTCTTGCGCTCATGCTATCCTCTTGCCTCATCCTCTGGAGTAGCTGGGACTACAGGTCCTGTCACTACAACTAGCTAATTTTTTCTGTTTTTAGTAGAGACTGGGTCTCAGTCTTGCTCAGGTTGGTCTCCAACTCCTAAGCTCCAGGGATCATCCCAACTTGGCCTCTGACAGTGCTATGATTACAGATGTGAGCCAGGTAAAGACTTGTTGAATCAATGTGTGAACTCTTAATTTGCAAATCAGAAAGCCCTTCACCCCCATGAAGGCTTCATTGTGGAGCTCCAGCTCCTAACATGGCATGGCTCTACCCAAGAGTGCAATACAAGTGTAACTAACTAGCTCTGTCCAACAAGAGCTGCTGCAGGGTCAGTCAGCACACATAGGAACCCTTCCACACCTCTCAATGGGAGAGGCTCCAGCTCTGAGCCTCTGAGAATTCAGAATTGCAAGCGGGTTCCCTATCCGGAGGCTTTTCACCCTGTAGCCTCAGCGCTTAGTTCCTGGTAGGCACTCACTGTACCAGAGCGAGTAACAGGAGTCCCAGGATAACTTTCTGCTGAAGGAATAGCAAAATGGACAAGGCCCCATGCAGTCCTTCGTACTGCAGCATTTCTCATAGGGCTCCCCACATCCCACTGCCCCCAAGAAATCCTCTGGAAACCACATATCACTTTAATACTGTGTAATATTTTCTTTTAAAATACAGTCTCTTCTGAGGTAGACCACAACTGCAGAGCATCGTCAGACAGGAGATAAATACGTCCATGTACAACACGCAGCAAAATGAGGTAGAAATGGTTAAAACTGGAGGAGAAGATCCCAACCCCAATCTGGATAGAGGCAGGAGAGGGCCAGCTTGCCAAGTCTGCCCTCCCCCACACACTGCCCCTGGATTCTTTGGTATGCCACCCCAACATTGCCAGAGCTGGACCTGCCCTCCCCTTACCTGCCCCAGTGCCTATGAGGTAGGTGCCAATAGACTAGGGGCCATCTCCTTGTGCAAAGTTCCCCAAGCCTGGGAAACAGAAGAGCCCAGTAAAGGAAGTGGTGGGGTCCCAGTCAGAGCTGCCTGCCCCTTGATGGGAAGGCTGGGATCCCAACCCCATTTCCCTGACACCCTCCACCCCCCACCCCCCACATACACACACCTGAGAGAGAACCCCCTCACTCCATGCTCCCTCTGAGGGTCTTTCACAGCCAAGACCCTGTGGCCTACTGCTTCTGAGTGACCAAAGCCCTGTGATAAGCTGGCTCCAAGGAGAGGAGGGTCAGAGAGACCAAGGAGGGAAGAGGGGAAAAACAGAGCAGCTTTCCTGTTAGTATGTCTAGGCCAGCACAGGCCCTGAGCACCTTGGCACCTGAAATGTCCCCCATGAAACACCCTTCCTCCCATGCAGGGGTAGGAAGTGGCACGGACTCTAGGAAATGTAGGGGCAGGCAGGGAATGGGAAGGGAAGCCAAGGTAGGATAGAGAAAAGGAGGCAGGGAGGCTGTTCCCCTCCTTTGGACCAAAGATCCAATCTGTGATGGGGGTTGGATAGATCAGACTGCTAAAGCACCATCAAGGAAAAACCGGTGGGAAGAGGAGGAATATGGTTCCAAGAGAAAAGTGTTCCTAGCCTGGTAGAAAGTGTGGGTAGGGGCTTCAGGCATAGGACTCTGGGGAAAAGCAGGAAGGCTCCACAGACAAGAGCCTTCTCCTGTGAGGGATGCCCAGCCCTCCTCAGAGCCTCCCAGCAGGGAAGGTGACTGAGGTCTAGCAGCTGATTTTATGCCCAACCAGACTTGTGACCAGACTGTCTTTCCAGATGGGATCCCTTAAACATAAATTATTGGTGATCTCTGCCAAGGCAGGGGCCAGGTAAGGTGACCACTATGAGGGCTTTCTGCTGGTGTCACCTTCCCATTTTTGGGAAGCCTACTATCTGGTCTGAGTCTGGGTCAGGAAGTGAGCAAAGGCATCCCAACTCTGGATAACTCTTCACTGAAAACCTTAAGCTGAGGGGTGGGGCCCAGAGGGAGAGCAGCAGGAAGGGGGAAAGACCTACTCTCTCAAATCCCACACCCCTGCCTACAACCTCAGACCTGGGGAGGAAGCCCTGAGAAATACATTCTGCTTCTGTCCCAGGAATAGCTGGGGTCTGAATGAAGCCTGGGTCTTCCTTTCCCCTTCCCTACAAGTCTCACTTTCTGAATCTTCTGGGAGAATTTGCTCCCCAAGGTGGAGGTAAAGTGGGGGGAACCCCAGGAGAGCAGCCAAAGCCTAACATTCTTTCTAAGGTCAGTTTCTTCCTGAGTTGTCAAATAAAAAAAAAACAAACAGCAAATTCTACACAATCTTACAAAAATAAGACGCCTAAAATGTTAAGCTACATTTCTGGGACTTCTGTCAAAAACAACCCCCAGAACCCTTTCTTTGGGTTTCTTCTTTTTGCTTGACCCTGCCCCCACCCCCCAAATTTTAGCTGGGTGAGGAACTACCAGGTGGAAAAAAAAACCCTATTCCCCCTCCTCTTTAGTCCCTTGGCCTCCAGATCTCTTGCAAAGGGACACTTCTAAGAAAGAAGGATAGAAGGCAGGGAGAGGCATGAAAGCACAGGGCGCTAGAGAGCAAGGGATTGAGACAGAAGCACAGAGGTAATGCATGGAGAGATGCGCCAGGAGGACATAGCAAAAGAGAAACAGGGTCGGAATGGGGGTGACAGGCAGAGAAAAGCAAGCGAATACAGAGAAACCGGTGGAAAGAGAGGGAAGGAGGAGGCTGCCATTCAGATCGAGGAGACAAAAGAATTGTGGCAAGAGAGCAGGAGTTCCTGAGGCTCCAGTGCCAGCCCATGCAAGGACTGCCCCGTCTGCCGGGCGGAGATGGCGAGCTTCTCGTCCACAATAAATAGGAAAAACCTGAGTACACGGCGCATATGGCATGTATCTGCCTGGCAGAAGCCTTTTCCCTCCCACGAAAAAACATCCACCGGCAGAGCCTTCCCGTTCCTCCACCCCACATTCACCACTCCGGCACCTCACAGCCGGGTTTGGTCGATGACACCCCTCCCAAGCCGAGGAAGCAGGAAGGGAGGAGTTCCCGCAGCCTCCCCAGCGCGCCATCAGTGTCCACAGCCGTACATTTTGTCCCACTCCACGAACGAGTCCAGTTCCTTGAGGGAGGCCCTGGGGCCCACCTTGGCTAGCGCCGCCTCTAAGTCCTTGTAAGAGAGGGGGCGCTGCAGCCCCGGGAGGCCCGCCCCAGCCGCTGCCTGCTGGCATAGCTGCCCCAGTTCGCCCCCAGAGAAACCCTGGGTGGCCTGCACCAGGGCCGCGAGTTCCGGCTCGCTGAACACGCAGCCCTGCTGGGCCAGCGCCCGCTGCAGGATCTGCCCGCGGGCCGGGCTGTCGGGAAGCGCCACATAGAAGCGGAGAGCGAAGCGCCGGCGAGTCGCTTCGTCCAGAGCCGCGGGCCGCGACGTGGTGCCCACGACCAGCACGCCTTCAGCCCCTGCCCCGCAGCTGCCGTCCAGGCAAGCCAGGAACTGCACATGCAGCGCGCCCCCGGCAGCCGCGCCGTCGTCCCGGGCCGGGAGCAGAGCGTCCAACTCGCTGACTAGAAGCACAGCCGGCGGACGGCAGCGCGCAGCGGCAAAAGCGGCCTGAAGGAGGCGCGCGCCCTCGGCGGCGCCGGGCGCAGCCAGGGTCGCGCCGCGCAAGCGCAGCAATGTAGCGCCCAGCTGTGTGGCCAGGCAGCGGCCCAGCAGCGCTTTGCCCGCGCCCCGCGGTCCAAAGAGCAGGACGGTCCGCGGCGGGCGCGAGCTGCCAGGGTAGGCGGGCGGCCTTAGCAGGGGCCACACCACCTTCTCTTCCAGCGCCGCCTTGAGCGCGCCTTGGCCTGCCACATCTGCCCACTGCACCGGAGGCCCGCAGTCCACCATCTTGCTAGTCACCAGCTCCAGGGGCCCCGCATCCACACCTTTGGGTGGCTCCCCTGACGGCACCGCGAAGCCCCCACGGGAAGCTGACACGGGACCCCGCTCCGGAAACTTTTCGAAGGGCTCGAGTTGTGATCCGTAGACGGGGGAGCCCAAAACCTTGAGGGGGACGCCGCTGCCGTACTTGCCCGATGCCTCCTCCGCGGCTCCCGGAGGCTTGGCCCGGAACCCATTGCCCGGACACTCGCCGTTGTCCCCGGCACGATAGGAGGCGCCGTCGGCCGCGGCCTTGGCGGGCTCGTAAACGTACTTGCGGTAGCGGCCCTCTGCGCCCTCGTCGACGGCTTTGCGCTTCAGCGACGCCCCGGCCTCCGCGCCCGGAGCGGCCGTCTGGAAGCTGTAGGAGGTGGGCGCCGGCCGCGGCGGGGTGGGCGTGGGCAGGGCCAGGGGCGAAGGCGCTGGCAGGCCGGAGGTCAGGTAGGGGGCCGGACCGGGGCCCGGGGGCGGTGGGAGAGTGCCGTAGCCCGGCTGTGAGGCGTAGCCCCCCGCAGGGTAGTTGTACAGAGGCCCGGAGGGGCCGTACCCCGGCGGCGGCGGCGGGGGCTGCAGCAGCGCAGCGCTGGGCTGTGCGCAATAACCCTGCGCCAGATACCCACCTCCGTAGCCCGCTGCGTACTCTGGTGCCGCCGACGGGCCCCCGCACGCATTGCCGGCGTAGAGGGGTTCAGGCAGGTTCCCGGCTAATCCCGGGGATCCCCCGAGACCCCCGGAACCGCCCCCAGTGCCCGCCTTGGTTCCCGAGAGGCCCTCGTGAAGTGAGGCCAAGGGATAAGGTGGCTCTGGCCCAGGCCAGGGCTCGGGGTCCACCTTGGCGCCGTTGAGGAAGGTGGCGTCGCCGTAGCCGCCTAGGGCGGGGCGCTCGTAGGGCGAGTCCAGGACCCCCGAATACTTCTCTGCGTAGCGTTTGAGTAGGTTGGAGGCAGTAAGGGCGGAGATGTCGTCGTGTGCCCAAGCGTAGTGGCAGCGCTGGCGACCCCCAGGCGGCAACTCCAACTTGTGCGCTGGCGACGGGGTAGTAGAGGAGACGTCCAAGTGCTGCTCTGGCCACTGGTTGAGGGGCTGGGCGTGTTCCGGTGTCCAGTGCATCTTCGACAGAACTGCAGGCAAGAGGGAGAAGCAGCTGGTGAGGTCTTGTCTGGCCCCTGAGGACCCACCGACAGACCTCCAGACGTGGCCATAGGCCAGTCGGCTTAGAAACTAAAACGGGCTGGTTTTCCAGACTCCCTCCACCTTCTGTCCCACTCTGTTGGGGCCCTCCTTCTAGACACCAAATACCTTTTATGTCCCAGAATTAAAGTTATCTGAAAATATTTTCCTCAGAGCCAAGAGGGAGCTCGAAAGGACATGGTTGACCCTAACTGCACCTTGTAGCAGTGATTATCATTTTGTCCTATGCACACCAGCAGTGCCCCATGTAGGACACACAGCCCTTACTCTCAGACGTGATGAAGTGAAGGATCAGGTAATGGCTGGGACACCCCAGCTCTGGGCATACTCAAGCTAAGGTGAAGGTTGTTCAGGAACATATGTGTAACTCACCTACTGTGTGCTGGCCACTACAGAGGCACTAGGGTTATATAAGGATGACGGAGGGCTGCCCGGGAGCCCTAAATCACAAATTTGTCTCCGAACTTCCCAAAGAGATGTGGTCACACTCACTTTGCAAAGTAAGAATCACCATTACTCAAAAGAAGCAAAAATGTTCCTGGCCTAGTGACCCTTCAGTTCAATATTTCTAAACGCTCTGTTCACCTCAGCCTTCCCTGAAATTCCAAGGCCCCCTTTGGGCCTGAGATCAGAGATTGGGGGTGGGGTGG